CACCACCACCCCCTACATCACACCAGGATGTGAAACAAAATAAAATCCCAAAATGTCAAATAATTCCAAAACTTTTTCAAAACAAGTTATAGGATTAAGGATTTCCTAATTACTGTAAATTTCAAGTGAATTTCAATGTATTTGCGATGTTATTTACGCTTAGAAATCCCTCGTCAACATCGTTGAAAACGTTTGATGGTTTGACACCCTCCACAGATTGCGTGTTCATTTGTTTGTTTTTTCCCTCTACACTCCCATCTGATTGGCGGGCGGGGCCTCATAGTGGGCCCTTGGATTTTCATTACTGTTGTTGCTTGTAGTGGCAGTGGTTTGTTGTGAGGGTTGTGAATGCGATAAAAAAAAAAATGACTAGATTGTGTGAGCTATTCTCATCCGCTAACAAAATCTTTATTTTTGGAAGTTAAAGTCTTAAAGGTCTTGTGAATTGACATCAGATTTATTACATCTCTTTAGGTAATAAATTCAGATGATGTTGCATCTATCTCCCTTAATATTAATTTTTAATAATAATAAAGCTACTTTATTACAGTAATGCTTGTCACCCATGTCCCTTTTTTCAAACCCCTTTAGATACTCAAGAAGCTTTTCTTTCCCATTATCCATTGACAATGTTTGTTATCTATTTAATATCATGATTATTATGTAACCTTTCTGTGCTTTTTTGTTTAAACACAGTATTGAATGGAAATTATTGTTTTCTTATGTCTTATTGTCTAATATTCACTTCAAAAACAACATTTATGGACCTTCATTTGTACCAATTCATGTTAAAGAAAATTTTAAGCCATTCTATTAATTTAGAGAACTGTTATTTATCTTGCTCTAACCTCCTTGTGAGGACAGAGAAGGCAAATTTCATATTATAATGTTTCTGTTATCTGCTGTTGATATTTATTGCTTTTTTATTTTTCCAGTTGTCTTGCTCATAACTGACTGATCATGAAGACCTCAAGATATGACGTTGATAAAGCAAACCAGCGTTGTTCTAGCTGGCTACAAAATCATCATAGTGAACACAAAGTTTTTGTTGATGAGACCATGGAGGCAGATGACCCAGATGACCAAGGACTTACTGAGCACCCCTGCGATCCTCTGAAAGATTCAGTTCTTTACTCGGCTGATGAAGATCTATCTAACCAAAGTGCCCTTAGAAGGAGGAGTAAAAGAAATTCACCTCAAGAAGAAGCATTCTCAGATCTCAGTGAAATTTCTCAAGAGCGCTATGAAAATTCACGCCTTCGTCAGATTACTGCAAGTTTTACTCTTATCTTCTCTCCTTTGTATGAAAACCAAACAAGCTTTTCCTCTTCTCAACATATAGTAAATAATCAAATTTACTTTAATTTTAGGAGGATATGGAGACTGATATGTCATTGACCAGTGATGAGGTATCGGTTACAAAACCAAAGATACTGAAAATAAAGACTGAAAAATTAGATCTCAGATGTGGATGGAGGAACTGCTATTTCACAACTAGTGAGATAGAGCTTTTTGTGACCCATGTTGCTGCTCATGTTCCAGACCTTGAAGTAAAATGTAGCGAAGAAGAAAATGAAGGTTAGTCACCTTTCACACTAATATTGTGATTTAACTTCTAAAAGTTAAAAATTATGATGTTTTACCTGTTATCAGAGGTATATTCATGTCAATGGGAATCATGTGACTTTGAAACGCCTAACGGGGATGAGGTGACCCGACATGTGAACTTTCATTCTTATCATACAAAGGTTAAATTCATAGGATCCCTTGTATGCAAAAGAGAAAAACTTCCTGTGAGTATTTTATTGAATTTGTTTTTGAAACCCTTTGAGTACACAAGATTTCCCTCTATAAATATGATATTTCTCTTGTTTACAGGAATGCACCTATGGTGGAGCAGGTGGAAACCTTGTACCAGATTTACCCCAACCCTTGCAATGTTTGTGGAATGAATGCCCCTTCACCTCCAACAACCCGAATATTTTTTATGGTCATGTGCAGGTACATTCTTTAGAGATACCAAATATAAAGAAAGCAACTGAAAAAAAATTTCAATGCCTATGGCAAGGTATGTGTGAATTTCAAAGTTTTATAGTTTATCTTCTTTAAACAGTGAATTTTTAAAACTATTAATCATATTTCATGTTTTAGGCTGCAAAACATTAGTGAAAAACAGGGATCGCATATCAGAACACTTACGAGGACATTCAAAGGAAAGAGTTGTTGCCTGTCCAATATGTGGTGTTCTGTATTCTAGTCGAATGAGGTTGATTGATCACATTAAAAGACAAATTTCATCAGAAGAATGTAAGATTCCAACTTTAAAGGGTCAGTAATAGATTGATTGGCATTGGGTAATTTTAACTTTAATTTACAGTCATGACTCATCAGTGCACCCATTGCTCCCGTTCTTATCCTTCTGAGCGGATTCTCAGAGACCACATGAGGCATCACGTTAATCATTTCAAATGTCAGTTTTGTGATATGACTTGTCCCACACAATATGCTCTAAGTAATCATGTACGATTTCGACACCTTGATGAAAAACCCTTTGCCTGCGAATATTGTGATTATAGGTTTGTATCAAGATTCACATTACACATAGTAATTTTCAAAAAAATATTTGTTATCAAGTTTTAATATTAACAAACTTTTTTCTTTTTAGAGCTAAAACTCAGTATAATATAAGACGACATATGGCCACTCATTCGACTGCAGACAACTTTTTTTGTGAGGAGGACGACTGCAGCTTCTCATGCCGAACCCTTAGTGTTTTAAATTGGCACTACCGCAAGGTAAGGACATGAAATTTAGAAGTCAAATCAACATGTTAACATGTTTATTTGTATATTGTAGAGTTGATTTTTTTTATTTTTTTTTAATTGTAATTTCAGAAGCATGATAGCCCCCCTGTTTATTGCTGTCATATGTGTGCTGCCAAATTTGCAAGGGGCGCGTATCTTACTCAACATCTTATGAAGAAACATAATTTTAGGTGGCCGTCTGGACATACACGTTTTAGGTAAGGTTTCCTTTTTGTGATGGTCACTCATGTTTTAGTACGTACTCTTATTTGCTTGACCTGTCATTGTTTTCCATAGATTTTACAAGAACCATGAAGATGGCCTTCTTCGTCTTCAAACTGTCCGTTATGAAAGCCTTGATGTTGTTGAAGATATCAATAGGAGGGAAGGAGAGCCCTCTTCAGTTTTACAAACAAGTAGTAAATTTAACATTTCAAAGGTAACAGATAACAAGGATGGTGTTTTGGCCAATTTTATTGTAAAAGAAGTAGATGACAACCCTGACGACCCAGATGACCCCTTTACTGAGGATGGAAACAGTGATATAAAAGGTAAATTTTTTCAAAATTCTTTAAAGTTTCTATGTTTTGCAAGGAAAAGTAGTAGCTCATAACTTGTTTTTTACATTCTTTTCAGTTGGGCAAAGTATGCCAAGTCTGGACGATGAGAGTCCACCTACATGCAAGAAGGTGCTCATTTCTATAGACGAAGTAGACAGTGACGGCAACATCATAAGTTCTAAAACCATGGAAGTTGACGAATTACTTGATATGGAGGAAGTAGAAAATGCTCGAATTGTCACAGATGGCATTGAATTTGAGAATCTAGCCTAGCAAGTTGACTGAATGATATGCATGCAGGAGTAATCTATTTATCTACCTGACTAGTCTCATGCTGGAGTTCTAAATTCTATTTCAAAACCTGAATTTTAAAATTGAATTTGCAAATCCAGCAAGTTGACTGAATGACATGCATGCAGGATTAATACATTAATTGACTAGTCTCATGCCAGAGTATTAAATTTTATTTCAAGACCTGAATTTTAAAATTATGGTCTTAAAAAATGTTTCTTTTTTTATTTTGTTTTTTTATTCGAAGCAAAATTAAAATTATATCACAGAAAGTTCAAATGCTTTAGGGAGAGTTATACCAAGAGTTTGCAGAAGTCTTCACTTTGTAAATTGCATCTTCAAAAAAAATACAGTAAATCAAACAATCGATCGTGCTTGTGACTCTACATCTCCCGTGGATCCGATGGCACATGCCAGCGTGGTTCTCCCCCCAACCAGTTCTGTGGCTCAGCCGAGCTGGCTCTCTAATCGGGAGAAGGTGGGAGGGGAGGTGGGGCGAGCAGCGGGAGGGCAAGTCGGCGGTCCGGTAGGTTGGGTCGGGGGTCGCGCCGGCCCGCGGCGAGTCGCATTGGTCGCACCGCGCCGTTTGGCGTCGGCCCGCACCCAGCACACCCAGTGCCGGCTCGTCCCACCCGCAGTCCTCACATCGCCGTCGTTCCGTCCGTTCCGCCCCGGGCCTTCCGAGGTCCCGAGGCCCTCTCACGGACCGCCGCCCGCACCGCACCATGGCCACGCTCAGGAGAGGTAAACCAAGCAGAGAGGCTGTCGTGCGAGCAGAGGGAAGTCCCCGGGCGACGCGGGGCTGGCGTGAAGGAAAACAACCACCGGCAGCGACTAGTAGTGCCGCGCTGCTATGTCTAGGGGCAGAGGCACGCGGACTCCACCGCGGCGGGGGCCCTCCGGGTCGATGAACCCTGATAGGACGCGGCGACGTGGAGGGAAGGGCCGCCCTGCGAGTGTAGCCCGAGCCGGGCCGCCCTGCCCTGCCGGCTTGCAAGTGGTCTTGATCGGAATAATTATTCATCGGCCCGAGCCCAGCGGCCTGCGGCCCGACGGCCACTCAGCGCAGCTGGCCTGTGTCGGGCCATGCGCTCCGGAGTTCCTCCTGCGAGCGAGTCTGAGCCCCAGCCGCACCCACACTTTGGCGTATTACGAGCCACGTAGCGACAGCGGCACGATGCTGCCGCCGCTCCGATAGGGGTGCGTGTGTTTGCTCGTTTGGATGAGATTCGATAAGAATGAGTGGGCGGGGGAGGGGAGGGGGGTTTGTTTACTTGCTCAGCTGACATGAAGCGGCGGCCGGCGACGCAGACGCCATCGCTCACGGCCGAGGCCACCGGCTGGAGCCCACGACAACAAACGCGAGGCGAACTCAGGGTCACCTCGAGCAATGCTCGGCTGGAGACACTGTATTAAACTCCACGACGCCCGCTTTGTTTTCGTCGTGCCTTCTACCTGAGTAACTTCACGTTACAGAGGCTCAGTTGTTAATGAGAGAATGCTGATGGTGGCAGTGGTTCATAGAGACCGCCCTGTGGAACCCAGACCTTTGCACGTTGAGCAAGCCTACCTTTGCAGAAATCCCATTGTGCAGTTACTATGAGATGATGTGATGACCTGACCCTCTGGGAGTAGCTCACAACTAAGGTCCGAGCGGGACAGGACCGCCGGCCCGGTCCAGGTAGCCTCGTCCAGCGATAAATAGCAAGGCACGGGCGCTATTCAAACTGAGTGATGCCGGGCGGAGCTCGTAGCTCGTGCCTCGTCTCGTCCCTCTCCAGCGGGCAGGGGCAGCGTAGGCCACCGCGCGGGGCAGGCGCAGGCGTGCGCGGCGGGCGTGCCTACCCGCTGCTCGGCGGGCGCTGACAGCGCGCTGACCAGCGCCTCCCTCTCATGTCATGCCATACATCTCTCGTTGCAGCGAGCTTGTTCCTTGTGGGAAGGCCAGGATGCCACCGGCATGGCTCTTCCCTTCCAAAAATGCCCGCTTGTTCGCACGTCCCGAAGCCGTACACGGTGAGTCGCATGGGTGCAAAGCTGCCCGCAGGTGCTGAAAGTATGTTTCAACTTGCGTAAACACTGTTTCGATCAAGGGCCTAAACTACGACGAGATGAGCGCCGTGCGGGAGAAGCACCTGGTGCCGTGCCTCAAGTCATACTACAAGAAGCCCCTGCTCATCCACGAGGGCCACATGCAGTGGCTGTTTGACCAGACGGGGCGACGCTACCTCGACCTCTTCGGCGGCATCGTCACAGTTAGTGTGGGACACTGCCACCCGTACGCACCACCTTCATCCACTCTATGCAGTGATGGCAAAGCCCGACCCAACGTTGATTCGACTGTCTCATTTTCTTCCTGCTCAGGAAAGTGACTGCGGCGGCCACAGCGCAGATGAACACCCTCTGGCACACCACCAACATCTACATGCACCCTAAGATCCACGAGTACGCGCAAAGGCTCGCTGATAAAATGCCAGGGGATCTCAAGGTAACGGGGTCCGGCCGGACCATCAGAATAGGTTCTTTTCATCAACCCTGGTTCAACATCGCAGACCTACCGGACCTGCGGGGACTTGAAGGGTTATTTCTACACGTTTGTTGGGCAGGTCGTGTACTTCGTCAACAGCGGCTCGGAAGCCAACGACTTGGCCATGCTGCTCGCCCGCTTGTACACGAAGCAGTTCGACCTCATCTCGTTCCGCAACGGCTACCACGGCATGAGCCCCTACGTGATGGGCATCACGGCGCAGTCCACGTGGAGGTTCGACGTACCCGTTGCGCAGGGCGTGCACCACGTGAGTACCTGCCGGAGCAGGAGGGGGTCCTCCCTTCAGTGAGCGCGGGCTGAAAACATCCGTTACCTCTGCAGGCGATGAACCCCGACCCGTACCAGGGCCTGTGGGGCGGGAAACACTGCAGGGACTCCCCCGTGCAGACGACTCGCGACTGCGCGTGTGCGCCGGACGAGTGCGAGGCGGCAAACAAGTACTACGAACAGCTGGAGGAGGTGTTCAAGTACTCCCTCCCTCGCGGCAAGGTGGCGGGGCTGTTCGCAGAGTCCATTCAGGCAGGAGACGAGTCATGAAGTAAGTGTCCGTCCGATGAAACGTACGCTAATGCGCCACATTTGGATGTGCAGGGGGTCGGAGGTACGGTCCAGTTCCCCAAGGGCTTCCTCAAGAAGGCGTACGAGCTCGTCAGAATTAACGGAGGCGTCTGCATCGCCGATGAGGTACTTTGCCGCGTTCGTCTAACACTTTACAGGCGACACTGGACGAACCCTTCCAACACGTGTCTGTTGCATCCAGGTGCAGACTGGTTTCGGCCGAACCGGCGAACATTTCTGGGGGTTCGAGGGCCACGGCGTGCGACCGGACATCGTGACCATGGCTAAGGGTATGGGCAACGGTTTCCCGCTCGCCGCTGTGGTCACGACCCCTGCCATCGCAGAGGCTCTGGGCCAGGCCCTGCACTTCAACACTTTCGGTGGGAACCCTGTGGCCTGCGCCGTGGGCCTCTCCGTGCTCGACGTCATCCAGGAGGAGCGCACACAGGAAAATTGCAAGGTATGAAAGTGAAAGATACAGGGAATGTATAAAAGACAGGCCATCAAAGTTCCCGAGACGACATATAATAGCCTTCATAAACCTCTTCTTCAGGTGGTAGGCACCTACTTTCTACAGGAGCTGTCAAAGCTTCGCGACCAGTTCTCTTGTGTGGGTGACGTACGAGGCAAGGGGCTGATGATCGGCATTGAAATGGTCAGCGACCGCGCAACCAAGGCACCCATGAACAACAAGCACTTTATGGATGTCTGGGAAGACTGCAAGAATATGGGGGTGCTCATCGGAAGGGGCGCGCTCAATGGCAATGTATGTGTTGAACCTATCGACAATGAGAAGATTGTGGTCAGTCGTAATTCCTCACCTTTAAAATCACTTTTCTCTCCTTTAGGTTTTAAGGATAAAGCCCCCCATGTGTATCAACAAGGAAGATGTGGACTATTCCATAGCAGTGCTTCGCAAAGCACTGCAGACCCACACAGAAAAAGCTAAGCGTCAAGCTAGTTGAAAAAACATGGACCTCCAAATCAAATTGGTACACAACATGACATGTCAGAGAAGAAATGGAAGAGATATGCTTAAGCAAAAATTAAATCTGACCAAAATAACAAATAAAGATTTATATATACTTTTGATACATCTGAAGGGCTACAACAAGAACCGAACAAATTAACATAAATTCATTAATTGTAAATAATGTTTTAAAATATACAGCTATTCACAAATGGCTTCTCCTATTTCTCCACCAATCACACTGATGTTTGTTCAAGTCTCCATGAGACGGAAGCACTAAGGGTAATTTCAGTACCACAAATAATACCAGTTCCCTATGTCATATTACTATACTTATTTTCAAAAAACTGAAAACAATTCCTTTATCACAGATTGCAAAATCTTGCTGAGATATATAAAAGTTATGGATAGAACTCATTTAAAATATTTTTAAATCAACAAAAACCAGCCCACTACTTATCACATGAGTTGACCTGTTTGTAATCTAATTTTTGTTCTATTTTTAACATGTTGAGTCGGGAAAGGTCCAGAGGTCCCCCTGTGTGGAGGTCCCCCCCCTGAATATATATAAAATAAATGCATGTGTCAGTGTAATGTTGTGGGTCGTATTTTTTGGGGATCAGAGATCGTTTGTATATTATGGATTGTACATTGTATATTCCATTTAATCAGTTGAATATTCACAAGGTGAGTATCTGAAAAAATTCACATTGAATAAGATGATTATTGTATATTTAATTTATACCATTGTATATTCGAGAGTAGAGGCACAGGGAAATACACCGACAATCGAGGTATATTTTTTTTTATTCAAATGCCATCGTATATCCAATGAAACGATAGGCAAATATATTTCCCACACTTTAAACTGAGATGTTTATTCTACTTACACGCGTGTATATACGATCGTAGATATACATCGCACTAGATAAGGCGATTCGTTATAACTTGTAAGAAATACAAACCTACGTATTATTCATCGTAATTTTTCGCAATACCCGTTGAAGTGGAAATGCGTCGACAGTTTAACATAAATTGTATTTGTCTTCAAACGGGCGCGTTATACTATTCCGCTGGCTCCTGTCAGTTTCCCATACTTCCCCAGTGGCGAACAACTGGACACCTTAGTGAATCTCAATGTGTAGGCTCCCCGCGCGCATGGGGTATGTTCTGCGGTGTCTCTGTCCGCACGGAGTACCGCCGAACCGGTAAGAACAACACTCAGTACAACCTGGTCAACACAAC